TCTCAATTTGATATAAATTTAAATACTATTTAAATAATTTTGTCAATAATTATGATTCACACGAATAGTCCGTAAAATTGCAATTTGTATGCCTTTATGGGACGGTTAGTGACATCTCTTGACATATAATGCAAAACAAGTTTCGGTCAAACGTTTATTCTAATGGAACCGATGGCGACATCTATTTATCAAAACAAATACTACAACAAAAGTCAACTTTAGATGACAAGTAATAGTGTCTCACTTATGGAATCGATGGCGACATCTATTTGTCAATAAAAACTACAAAAAGTGAACTTTAGGTTTCACTCTATTTGAATGGACTTTTAAATACATTACTGCCATCTGTTGGCCATAAAAGTGAATTACAGCTCAACTTTAGGTTTGAATTAAATTTAGTGTCATTTATGGCACAACTATTGCCATCTTTTGGCAAATTATTTGTTAACATAATTATTAATTTATTTTATAATTTAAATCAAACTTTGTTTTCATGGCATTAATACGTGTAAAAAAATCAAATTTAATTAAATACTTCATTTAAATAATGGCAAAATAATAAACACCAAGAAAATGAAATTTTTTATAATCAATAATTTTTATTTCAAATAGTTTTTTGTGTTTTTCATTCAAAACGAAAACAGGTATTAATTTTTAGACAATTTTATTGTAACTTTATTTCAAACATTTATTTTTATTCATATTTTAGTTTTGCTGTAAATTCTTGTTTCAAAAGAATTCCATTTGAATAATAATTAATAATAAATTTATAATTCATATCACAATTGCATCGATTCGTTCAGAGGGCCGGTTATGGCCCGACATCGATATATAATTTAATTTAATTATAAATTTAAACAAACGATTGATTAGAGAGTAAAGAGAGGGGAAGTATATGTCGGGTATAGTTATTGTCTGTTTGTTATTACGGTATACTTTATACTGTATTTCCAATTTGTTTTTTATAATTAAATTTAATTATCATTTTAAACATAAAAAGTTTGTCTCTTTTTTTAATAATAATTAATTAATAATAATAACAATATAAATGGCCTTTCGATACAATTAATTGAACGAACAATTTAGTCAAATTCGTTGACTAAAAAATATATAATTATATTTATATTAATGAGAAAAAAATTATATCAATAATAATAATAGGTTTATAACATTAACTTAACGAACAATAATAATAATTATAATAATATTAATTAATAATTAATAGTCAATAAAATCAAATGATTTACAGAGAATGGTGTTTATAATAATTATAATCATATGTATAATCAATATATTTAACAAACATTTTTGTCACTTAAACTCATTTTCAATTA